TGCCCAACATGGAGCCCAATGCAGGGCTTAAACACATGACTCTGAGATTAAGACCTGAGGTGAGACTGTGGGACGTTTAATGGACCAAGCCACCCAGGCAACCCTCATCTCCAAATTTTCCTGAAAAAAATCATTGATTTCTATTGCACCTGGTCTATGATTTAATGGAAGGCTAACAATATTAACTATTATCGATTGAGCACTTACAACGTACCAAGCACTTCACTAAACGCTGAACATACATTTACCTACTTAATCCACGCAGCATCTCTTTGAGGGTGGTTAAATCACTTCCACATACTTACACATTTGATCCTGTTTACCCTGCTATGATCTCCACTTTATAGGTGAGGAAACTGATGTGCCGAGAATTTCAGTGTCTTACCCAAGGTCACCTAGCTAATACGTGGGAGAACCGGGATTGGAACCCAGGCAGTCTGCTTTTGGAGCTGGTGCTTTCCGGGGGGGGGGGGGGGCCCCGCGGGGGGCTTGCCTTAAATCTGTGTTGTGCTGCTCTGGTGTGTAAAGCAGAATAGAGACACTCCCAGGAATTGTTAAAATACACCTCTTAGTTTTTTATTGCCCCACTAATAGATGTCTACTGGGCTTTGTTCACAGCTGCCTTATTCACTTGGGATTTCAGACATTGTGCAATAAAAGCCTTGCTAATTACCCAGTAATGAATCATAGGAGAGCCATAGGTCTGGATTTGAGTGATTCCATAAATTCCATTTTATTATTAATGATTGTACTGCTTCACATGTGGAAGCACGTTTCTTTCCCTCTGTTTTCAGAGCTGTGATTCCCCTTTAATACTCAGGTGTGGCTTAGGTACCGCAGATCTGATTATCTTCATTTCTCAGATGAGAAAATTGAGGTTCAGAATCCCAGCGACTTGGCAAAGTCACACACCCCTTACTGTGCATAAGGCCATGTGAAAGTAGGGTTCAGGGATGACGAGATGTTCCTAGGCAGGAGATGATACAGGACCTATTTCATATAATAATTAAGAGTCTCTAATTAGCAGTATCCAGTAACTTAAAATTGGTCGTTTAAAATTCTTTGGGGCGCCTGGGTGGCTCAGTCGGTTAAGCATCTGACTTTGGCTCAGGTCATGATCTCACGGTCTGTGGGTTCGAGCCCTGTGTAGGGCTCTGTGCTGACAGCTCGGAGCCTGGAGCCTGTTTCGGATCCTGTGTCTCCTCTCTCTGCCCCTCCCCCACTTGTGCTCTGACTCTGTCTCTCAAAAATAAATAAATGTATAAAAACATTTTTTTTTAATTCCTGGAAGAAGTTTGTTCTCACACACATATTTGCATCTTGTTTACACTATTCATTTTTCCAAGTAAGTCTTCCCCGTAGAGATTCTATAGCTAAGTGGAATTAGCACAGATTCTGATTTCGCAGATAGAAATTATGAGGGAGATTTGGGTTAACTCCCGTTCATCAGAAAGCTAAGTATGGTCCTGTCACATGCACTCTCCTGCCCATCTTCTCTTAAAGCCGTCATTAGAGTCACACTTTGCCAAAAACGTGACCACAAATCTGTTTCCTCTTTGCAGCCTGTGCAAGGCTTTGACTATGCCAAGCAGCACCTGGGCCAGCAAGGGGCGGATGAGGAGGTTGTCCCTGTGACTCAGGAAACGGTGGTCCTACCGCTCCCTGTTAGAGATGCTCCTGCCTCTCAGGAAAGAGACATCGCCCAGGACGGAAGCACCATCAAGACGGCCAAGTCCACCGAAACCAGAAAGAGGTAGGCATGGGATCAACTTCTGCCTCTCCAAATCAAAAAGGGAAATTATTGATGGTGAGAGCAGTGGAAGCCTCAAGTTAATACCACTTTTCTCTTTAAAAATTCCCGCCTTCCGGGGCACCTTGGGTGGCTCAGTTGGTTGAGCATCTGACTTCGGCTCAGGTCATGATCTCACAGTTGGTGAGTTCGAGCCCCACATAGGACTTGCTGCTGTGAGGGCAGAGCCTGCTTTGGATCCTCTGCCCTCCTCTTTCTCTGCCCCTCCCCTGCTTCCACTCTCTTTAAATAAACATTTAAAAATAAATAAATAAATAAATAAATAAATAAATAAATAAATAAATAAA